GAGAATTTGACTTGGTTAGTGTTACATGTGAGTTCCGTAAACTCATCAACACTCAAAAGTCTTATGTAAATTTTCTGGTTTGTTTTTCACCCAGGTTCTACAGATTTATCAGTTTAAGAAATTAATCCTCTCTGGAGGGAAAGAGGTTTGTGGCAAACATGTTTCAATTAAGTAATTTTGAGGTTTCCCCCTATTCTATCAATTAAAAATAGATCTCCCGCATCTGTGCAGCTTGTCTAGAGCATGCTGTGGATCAAAGTTTGGATTCAACAGTAGAGGATGCTTGTTATCAAAAACTGAGAAATGTGGCAGGAATACAACACAGGATAGATGTCAAAGATTGAAAAGTAGTATAATGGTAATAAAACCACAAGGTTAGAAAAATACCAGGGCTACAGCAGAGTGCTTCAGGGTCCAGCACTGGGGATTATTTGGGTCTTAAAAGCCATAAAAATCTCTATTTTTACAGTGGCTGGCATGACCATCATTGGAAGATTCTCTGACCGAGAGATCATAATTACACATCAAAAAAGACAGAAATGGTCTACAAGTTTCTTCTGGCATAACGGAATTTTGTTGAGGGACATGTATGAGAAAGCTAGTCATTGAGGCCAGCATTGCATAATGTGGCCACATCTATAGGCAGCAGGAGGAGATATTCTGATTGGATGCACCAACCCAATCACGGGGGGTGAGGGGGGAGTATCTCTGCAAAGAAACTTGGGGTGCTGTCATGAGAGGAAGGGTGGAAGAGGGGCAGAACAGACAAAAGTAATGGAGAGCCTCTGCAAAATTGCTTTAAAACAATTATAAAAGACTCCTAGGTGTCTTGCAGCTGACTTTTTCACACCAGCAACAAAGAAAAGTTTTATATCATAAGGTTTGTAAGTTTTTTAAATTTGTTTAATAGTTCATTATATTAAAGAAGAGTAATTTCCAGAATACTTCTTAATTCAGTTAGTACTGTATATTAAGAAAATCTACTCATTGTAGTGTATTCTCAGCTGTTCTGACATTTTCTGAATAAATAGTATATCACCAAAGTAAACTTCCTGGACCAAACAGAACCTAGACTAGAGTTGACTGTAATGAGTTACTCAGAGTTTCAGCTGTCACCGTTGGAATAAACAAGAAGAAATCTAATTATTAGGATTTTGTTCATCCATTGACAAAGTAATATTTTAAAAACTTGACACTCCTCCAGACCTTATAAGAAAAAACTCATAAGCAGAGTTGTTAAAAATCCCCTAACATCAGGCAATTTCTGTGAGGAGACATTCTAATCCGATTGCAGGACACCTGGCAGAGCAGAAAATACCCACTAGCTAGTGATAACCCTTAAGGATCCAGAGACCTCTGGAGAGAATAAATGTAAAACAAGTTAGAGAGGAAATAGGGGACAGTAGCTTACTCACTTTCCAGACCAGACCTCAAGCTAAATAAAATTTGGAAAGAGAATTTGTCTGGAAATCTGGGCGTCTGAGCACATGCTAACCATAAGACCAGTGATATCCTTCAAAATGATAAAATGAGTGATTATTTGTAAATACATTAAGTTGAGAGAAGAATGTGATACTAGTATCAGAGTTTAATGGTTCATTTTGAGTCTCTCATGTGTGACTTTGAGTGGTCTTAGATTGTTATAATCATACATTCGAACAAGTGATGTATATATAATCAATTTCCTTTCTCTTTGGAGTGATATATTAAGAAAACAACAATGGCTAAAATAACACTAAATTTCAAACATCGTCTCCTGAGCCCAAACTGGGATCCGCCCCACAGGGAGACCCTCCTTGACGAACTCTCTCAGTTCCTCAGAAACTACCCTCCTACAGAGGGACTCCAGGATCATTGCTATTTATTCTGAATTCCTTCTCGAATAAACAGTTCACAGTATATTCTTGTTTAACTGAATGCTTTATTTGTTTTTTGTTTTTGTTTTTGTTTCTTGGTGAGGAAGATTAGCCCTGAGCTAACATCTGTTGCCAATCTTCCTCTTTTTTGATTAAGGAAGATTATTGCTGAGCTAACATCTGTGCCAATCTTCCACTGCCACAGCATGGCTTGATGAGCAGTGTGTAGGTCCACACCCGGGATCCGAACCTGAAAATCCCGGGCCACCTAAGCAGAGTGCACAGACTTAACCACTATGACACTGGGCTGGCCCCCAAGAGCAAAAGGAATCATGAGACAGGGGGCTCCTATCTTTTGCATACATCCCCCTACCCCAAACACACTACCCTATCTTGTCCTAAAACTTACATTTCACTTAGGATTGCTAAAGTTGCCACCAACAGTGGTCACTAGGTGCAATCCCAGGGAACAAAATGATGGTGACCTCCCATTGCACCCACGGAAGTTGACCTTCATTCCCCCAAGGAATCCCATGCAGTTGTCCATAGTGGCACATAGCAAACCCTGACATGGAGCAAGGGGAAGGATCAGTGGCACTGTCTCCCACATTTATTGGTTTACAAAACACGCTTAGCCTCTGGGCTAGTCAAAGTGTTTGGGTATAAACAAATAGATTGGCTCCATGGCGATTAGAAGGGTGAGTTTGAAATCACATTTATCAGTGTAATAAGGAGAAATTGAGGACCACCTATGACAGGATCAATTACAGAAAACGGAAAATTGGCAACATAATAAAACCAAGGAAGGAGTGAACCTTTAAAAAGCCACCTTGTTAATATTTCACCCCACATCTCTTCTTCCAGATTGTGATCCTTAAAAAGTCTATCTTTCAGATGTTTGTAAAATACATATACATAATTAATGAGGAATTGAAACTGAGAAACACAATTCAGGTTAGCCTGCGAGTAGTTAACTTGTATAAAGTTGATTGTTATCTCAACCAATGCTCAAACTCTGTAATTTGTTTGTTCAGTTGGTAGCGAAAGGTGTACACGTTTTCTAGTCTAAGGACACAGGATAGAATCCAGGTTTTCTCAGTTACTACATGTATTATCTTAAGGAAATTATTTGGTGTGACTAAGAGGCATGGTTTCCTCGTATGTAAGAGGAGAATAATAAAATCCACCTTCTTGAATTCTTGGGAAGATAAAATGTCAATATTTATAAAGCCTCTGATGGTGCACAATACGTAAGTGCCCAGTAAAACTCACTGCCTCCCTGTGGGTACAGAGGGGAACAAACAAATCTAACATGTCCCCGTCTCCCCAGGCAGCCCAGTCACAAATATCTCCAATTGGTCAAAGGAGTAAGACTGGACATGTCTGCCAACTTAATGAATACTCTTTCTATATAAATTTGAGTCTTGGTTATAATCTTATTTTTCTATTCCACGTTTCTTTTACTGTGAGCATCTTCAATATTTTTGGAATATAACTTAAATTTGGAATATAGATTAAAACACTGGGAAAATGACAATCAAAATGAGTTTTCTACAAAATTGTTAACCCACCTCAGTGTAACTGCTGAGGCTGCTCTCCACTGGAAATACAAGGTTTCTGATTTAAGCAACTTCCATGTAATAATTGCTGTAAGCAAAGCAAATATCTTACTGTAGAGATTCAACAGGATGGAGCTGTAAGATGTACACTCTGGAAAAAAAACTGTATTTTAAGTCAAGAGCTAACTAGTTATTGCACCTCTATTTAGTAGATGTTAAAATCTCTCATCTGTTTTGTTCTCGCTCATATTTCTTCCCTGACAGCCAGCTCATGACTTGGGTCTAACAGAGACTGCAGTCTTTCTCTACTCTAAACTTCCAATCTGCTTCTGAGATGCTACAGTTAGAATTGCTTTGAAGACAGATAAATAGCTACTATATAGGAAATTAGAGGAACAAACATGCCACTTGGCAGCATGCCAGCATGCTTTCTAAAGATTTTCATTAAGAAAGTGACAACTAAGACATGCCAAACATGTTTACAGTCTCCACTGAATGAAATGCCACTCAAAATAGAACAAATGTCATGACACTCTTTGTCCCAAATATTAATGACCAGAGTGCCCTGGATTTTTCTCTCACAGCCTTGAATGGAACAATCTTGCTGACCTGAAATGAGGCTGAAAAAGTAACTGAGTTCTTCTCTAGTGTCAGGAGAGACTGAGCGCTCATTCCTTCCACTAGCGGTATGCGTCCAGGATGCTTTTCATCTCTGAATGGCTGAATTGGTCTGCCCTTGGTCCTTTTCCATTTCCATTTCTACTTTTCATCATGATAGATTTTAATGGCTCAGGAGATTACAAAAGAAGCCATCTTGGTCTTGAAGACATTATAGTATCAGAAATTTTTATCTTAAAGGGAGTATTAAATTGCAGCCTTGTATTTGCAAGATGGGGAAACTTAGGCTCACCTTGCTTGTCATCTCATAGTCAGAGAGTGGCAGGATTAAGACCAGAACCAAGACTAGGACACTTTCCATTCCACCATGAATAATTCTCCTCAGTTTCAACCTAAGTACCCATTTTTCTGTGTCAATATCCAATGTGACAAATTTCAGCAAAGATTATCACCAGACAAATTTACTAGGTCAAAAGAAATAGTAATTTTCTACTGGGCCCTTAATTCAATTCAATTTAATGAACATTGTTTAGAGACCAGTATTTCAGGCATTATATAAAGATTCTGATTCAGGAAATGATTACCTCTAATACCTTTTCACTAGATCCACATAATATAACAGATTGTCTCTGGCTAATTAAAAGGGCTTGGGGTTGGTTTATCGTGTGCAAAGAGCCAAAACGTGTTCTTTCACTGTGCATCTTAAAATTGTGATGAACATGCTATTGCATTTGAACCCCTCAAGCAGTCAAAATATTTCCTGGGTCAGAAGTCTCTTCCAACACTACAGTATTCAGAAATGTTCATTAGTCAAAAGCTGTATAAGGTGTTAGCTTACTGACCCACCACAGATATACCTTGTACCTGCACAAAATGAAGAGTTTGGACAAAAATGTAGCAAAGAAGAAACTGCTATATAATTTAGATGTTACTGCATCATCTTTTTAATTTGAGGAAAGAGCTCAGTCATATTTTTATAGAAACTCAAAGATCTACCTATTCTGGCCTCCAAGATATATGGAGTCTAGAAGAGATTCCATCTCTTCCTCATGATCATTGCCAGACTGGTTTCCATGGGGCAGGTTGGGTTGAGGATGATGGTGAGTTTGCAGGGGGAAGGAGATCACACTTTGCTGTTTCTCAAATACACATCCTGGTTACGACTATGTGTGGCTGCTCTTATAGCATCCGTGCTGATAACAGGTGATGGAACGGACCTGGGGAAAAAAGAAAGGATGGTTTTAGAGTTTAAGGTTGAGGTTAAAAATTGGGCTCCTTCTTGACCTAGGGCAGGATTAAGGAAGTGGCATAAGTCATTGCCACATGATCTGTGTTGGGTGGTCCTCATGTGTCTGGAAGGGCCAGAGCTACCCTCTAACATCAGGTCTACAGGCTGCTAAGAGAGCAGGAATCTTGACTCAGGAATGAGCTGGGTGTTTCCCCATGATGGTTACTCAAGACATTTTTGTGGGAAAAGTATTGCTGGCACCCATTGAGACTGTAATTTACCGCGGCAGCCCTGTGACTCTAGAAGAGCGGGAAAACCAGCTGCTGTGGAGTCTGACAGATCTCACTTTGATATGTGGTTCTCTCAGCACATTTTAGTTTTTAAATGGCCGTTACTATTATGATGGTAGCCATTATAACGATAGAACGTAATCCTGGGTGAGGAGAGGCGAGACTACCTACACTGATCCAGGCTATGGCTTCCCAATGAACCTGACCTGTGGAATCTGATGTTTGTTTGAAAACTGGACTTTTTGAGAAACTATTCAACCCAGCAGGCATTTGAGGACAACCTACTCTGGTGCAGACCCCTTCCAAAGCTTCTCAAGTATAACAAAAATTACAAACTTGTGTCACAACCTTCCCCTGCCACAGCACTTTTCAAGTCTGTCAGCTTAGCTTCTCTTTCCCTCCTCCATGTGCTGCACCTGTCGCCTCCCTCTCTCTCCTCCTCCACAAACAGATATTCCACATGTCAAAAGCTTAAGCCACTGTGCATGTGGGTGAACAAAGTAAAACAAATATGGAAAAAGTACTGTTCTTCAAGGAACTATTATTCAACAGTCTACGAAAATATATGCATTATATAAATTACATGTGAACTCCCAAGTAAAAAAAAAAAATTCTATGAGAAGATTGGAAGAGATTCCTCTCTCAGGCTATCACCAGACATATATCAGTAGACCAATATTGTCTAAGATCTTTTTCCTTTCCTCTTTGTACATCTCAAATACAAACATCTCTCATTCTTAGTGATCAATGGCTAACACACAGGAAACCCAGTCAGTCTTGACTCTGTTTCTTGGACAATGCTTGACGAGTCATGACTAAGCCTCCTCAGCTCTTAGGGTTGACTGCAGAGCATAGTGATAGGCGCGGCTCCTTTCACTTTAAGATGGAGTCACTAACATTTAATCACTATACTTATTAGCAAGCTGAAGCCTGCCAACTTTTCCATTCAGCAGCCTTGGACCAGCCTTAGATTTTTCCCTAAAATTTTAGAAAGATTTAAGGAAGCCTTGTAACTCTAGAACTCCGTGAACAAAGATGAGTTGTTCCAGTCAATCACATGTCCTTTCAAGGATTTGCCTCTTACTCTTATCTGAACATTTATTTGAGACTGTGACTTAAGCCAACCTTTGTGGTTGCTCTAATGTCATTTATTAAATATAACTGCATAATTGCCATATGCTGCACAGCTGTCACGAACATACAGGTATTTAAAGAGAGAAGAGCCAAAGCATTGAGAAGCTCTGACAGTTTAAATAAGTTCAGGGCAAGCACAAAAATGAATGTGATTTTAAAAGTTTGCTTTAACTTCTGAGTAGGGTCCCTGGGCATTTCACTATGATACGCTGGGAGGAAACAACTATTAAAGCCCAAAGCAAAACCAAAAAGTGACTAATGTACCCTTGGCACCCTCCTTCCATGATCAAATCACCTCCCCTGTTGTTTTCCCCCGTAAGTCAAGATTCCTACTGCCCCAGGACCATACTCCAGTGTGGTCTCCCACCTTGGCCAGCTCCATTCTCTGGACCAAAATTACTTTCCAGGCTCTGACAACATTTCTGTCTGCTCTCTTTCCCTTGGGATCCTGCTGGTTTCCTTAATGAACTTTTCAAGTGTCAATGGGTTACTATATATGTATCTCTCTGCTCCACACATTAATTTTCAGGAAGTGTGTAATTTTTCTTATTTATTTATAAAATCACAATGCATTATATATGTTTTCTATGGCTTATTTTTTCATATATGCATATTACTATAATCTCTGTGTACATGAAATGTGATTTCTAAATAATTATTTTGTTATATTTAACATTAAAGTCTATACCCTTCTATATTTTTCCCATACATTTGCAATGTTTTAATATTTAGCATTTAAAATATTCACATCATATTTGACTGAATTTTTCCTCTTATAATCTGCCAAGAACTCACTTTGTTTCTAGTTTTTCGATAATAGAAATGTAATAAAATAAAAGATTCAACTTTGAGCCTCACCCGAAATTTAGGTAGATCTAGTTACATCATGCTAATTGATCTTCTGTGCCCAACAGAAGCCAAACTGGGTGGGGGCCTACAAGAGAGGTGCAGCATGAAGGTTTTAGAAACAAAATGCCAGAATCAGAAAGGAATACTGATTTTCAGCTCACCATGGTGGCTGCCACTCAAAATCCATACCCAGTCCAGCCACATGACACTCATTTCTTCATATGGGAGGCAAAGGGTCATAAGTGAAAACTAACGATTTTTTAAAATTCAATTTCTCAGTAAACTATTGAAGTCAAGAAGCAAAATTGCTTTGGGAGATTCTCCATTCCACCACCCACAGTGACACACCTTGAGCAATGGAAGAGTCACAGCTGTTGCAGATGGAGTGTTCCATAAGAGCAGCAGTGGTAACGTCTAATGGAGATGGCAGTGCCTGGTGAGAGACACAGAGCAAGAATGATGCTCACCGACAGACTTGTTTGTGGGCAAGTGGGAGACACCTCTGGGGATTCCTAAAAATACTTAGGGGAAGATCATTTGCCAGAAGGTGAGGAGAAGACTCCAAGAATTTCAAGTTCTTACTAATGATATGATCCTATAGTTCCTGTGGTCTAATGATGACTGGGAAATCTGGTTACATAATCAACACTTCTAAAACACCTTTATTTATACTTACGGATTATTTTTCTCCCTAGAATTATTTCCTTGGGATAACATCCCAGAAGTGAGAAGAATTTGTAAACTCTGGGGTAATATTTACGTCTATTTTGAAAATACATTTTACTTCTAATGATTTTCAAGAGAGAGCTCCTTTAGGAGACAGTGGGAAATACACTTGGGGGGCAAATGAGACTCCTGAAACCACTAACATTCCAGGCTATATCAATCTTCATATTCTGCATTCTCAGAGGGCTGGCACTAATTAAAATCTCTCCTTACTAACTTTAATTGATCAAAGAAAGAAATATGGCTTCTGAATAGATGTAATTGGATATGCTGTAATTATACCACCTTACTTGAGATGATTGCATCTAATCTAGTTTCAGAGTCACTAGACATATAGATTCGTTTAAAAGGTAAAGGAGGATTTCCTGCTATATTTGGTTTATGGTCAGCATCACCCCTGGGCTATTCTAGAAACTTCCCTGCCTCTGGGTCAGTCCTGACTTGTTTAATTTTTTTTCTTATCCCGTAGTCTAGTCCTTTGGGATCTGAAAGGTAAACAATTCTTTTCTTGCAACTGGGCTATGAAATTCAGTAGAATACGTTTACTTGCAGAAATGCTTCTTGACATCAGAAACAAAACTGCAAATAATCCCACAGAGATTTCCACCTAGATGCACTTTAAAAAACAGTAAGCAATGAAAAGATGCATACTTTCTTTCATATTTAACATTCTTTTAAAAATAAGAGACATCATTTCTACTTCTAGTTCCACAATGAAGTGTAGTTATGATTTCTTGCCTGTGGTACAATGATTCTTTTTCACTGAAAACATAATTAATATTCTATGACAATTTGCAGATAGAATGAAAGTCAAAGAACCACAGCCTCAGGGTGTCCATGATTTAGCAATAACTTACCTTTAAACTTTTCTCACTCACTTTTTCTCTTCAGCCATAGCAAATTATTCCCTTTGTCACAAATGCACTTTTGGTCATAGATAGCAAGACAGGAGTCTATGTGGAATCAGGATTAAGGCCTGGTCAAAATACAAGTAGGAAAGTTCTGGTTTTCTCTAAGAATGAGAACACAAGTGGCCGTATTAACTACACTCAATTCAATCAGTCAATGGAGATCCGGGCAAATCAAGGAACAATGATCCATCTGATATCTTTGTTGGTGTTCATCCTATTGTTCACTCTCTTACTTCCCCGCAGGGTATGTCGAGTAAACTGCCTGTGGCAGTCATGGAGGTACCCTATTCCGATCTCCCTTCCAGGAAAACCTACTGCACAGTGTATAGCTGATTGACAACTTTCAGTTTACACATTTCTTGTAGTTCACTCCAGGCTGTGATTCTGCAGGGCTGCTCCCAGCCAACAGCTGAAGACTGTAGAGATATTAGGACCAGACAATCCCTGCCCAATGTAGATTCCTCCAATGGCAGCTTTGGTCCAGGGCCTCCCACTCTGAAAACGCAATCTAGCTACTGATGCTGAATGTCTAAACTGTCAGCAACAGAGACCAACTCTGAATCCTCAATGTGGCACTATTCATCAAGATAACCAACTGGTCGCTTTGTAGCAGGTTGACTACATTGAGCCCCTCCATCCTGGAAGTGCGAGCAGTTTATCCTCACCAGGATAGATAACTACGCTAGGGATGGGTTTGCTTTTCCTGCTCACAAAACCTCAGCAAACACCACTATCCAGGGGCTTCAGGAATGCCCGATCCACTGGCCTGGAACACTACATAACATCTGACCAAGGGACCTACTTCACAGTGAAGCAGGGGCAAGAGTGGGTCCATGACCATGACCGTGATATCCACTTGTATAACATACCACAACATTCAGAAACAGCTAGCTTCATGAGTGTTAAAACAGCTCATGAAAACACAGCTAAAGCACAAGCTTGGAGGCAACAGTTTTTAAGGAGGAGACGCTGTCCTTCAGGATGCGGTATATCCATTAAATCAAGACCTCTATATGGTATTTTGTCCCCACTAGGATACATGGGTCTGGGAACCAAGGGACAGAAGACGTCCCACTTTCCGTCATTCCCAATGATGCACTGGGAAACTTCTGCTTCCCATATCTGAACTCCACAGCATTGCATATTCCAGTTCCCATAGAAGGCATACCCTTACAAGGTACACAACCAGGGTCCCATTGAAAGACAAGCTTTGGCTGCTGCCAGGCATTTTGAACTCCTTGTGTCCAGGGTTCTGCAGGTATGAAGAGGATGCACCATGTTGGTAAGAGTAATTGACCCTATCAGCAGTAAAATGTAGGGCAGCTTTCACAGAATGAAGGTATAGAGGAACGTATTTGGAACCCAGGCATTCACCTGTGTGTCTCTTGGTGCTTACTTATCCAACTGTGACTGCGAATGGACATGAGCTACAACTCAGCCTGAGGTGGATCTGATTATCGAGGATTCAGAGCCTTCAGGAATAAAGATTTGATTTACACCATCAGGAAGCCAGAAAGACTTGCTGAAGTTGAGAGGAATTCAACATGAGTAGTGGATTAAAAAGACTATGAGTATTCATTGCAGCCCCAAGACCAGTTGCAGAAATGAGAGCTATATCTCTTCTTACTAACCTTCCTCTTCTCAGTTTCCTCTCAGGAAGAGAGGCACACAGGAACTGTGGAGGAAGCACTCTCCAAATCTGTATAGAAAAATGGACTATGGCCATGGACGTGCCCTGCTCAGATCTCCCTTCAGTAGAAACTGCTGCAGGAAGCATAGCTGATTGACAGCCTCTAATTACAACATTTTGGGTTCCACTCATGCCAGGCCATTCCTCTTCCAGGCTGTTCCTAGCCAATACCTGAACATAGTGGGGGTACTAGAAGAAGGTAATTTCTCCCTGAGGTGGGATTCCTTTAACGGCAGACTTGGCTGGGAATTCCCCACCAGCGTGGTCAGAACTTTTCAAAAACTGTATTTTGATCTGAGTTTCTTCCTACCCAATCTGTCCTTCCTTCCCTCCTTTCACAGGTGTCAGACTTGCATTGCACTCTGCAGATGCTCCTTGGATACTCCTGCTCCCTCTCCGTTTATCCTTCATAAGGATTGTTACAGGTTGAATTGTGTCCCCCCCAAAAATGTGTTGAAATTCTAACCCCTGGTACCAGTAAACGTGACCTTATTTGGAAATTGGGTAATCAAGTTAGGATGAGTTTCTTAGGGTGGGTCCTTAACCTTTTAGGACTGCTGCCCTTATAAGAAGAGGGAAATTTGGAAGACACAGAGGGACAAAGGTCACATGAAAACAGGCAAAGACGGGAGTTATGATACCACAAGCCAAGGAATGCCTGGGGCTACCAGAAGCAGGAAGAGATGAGGATGGATTTTCCCCTGGAAGCCTTGGAGGGAGCGTGGATTTGCCGACACCTTCATTTCAGACATCTAGCATCCAGAACTGTGAGACAATACATTTCTGTCATTTTAAGCCCCCCAGTTTGTGACACTTTGTTATGGGAGTCCAAGAAAACTAGTACAAGTATTTTCCCAAATAAATCTCTTGCATATCTAACCCTGTTTTCACATAGGATTCTTGGAGATCCCTAATTGTGACACTTATCTACTTGTTTGGGGGATAGACCAATCAATCTGACATGATGACCCATGGAAGTAGGGGAGAAGACAGGGAGAGGAGTAAAGGACTCCACAGATTTTCACTTCTCCTTAATGTCGAAATCCCATCACTCTCACTAGTTCTCACTTATTAGCTGTTCCATGAGATTCTCTGTGAAACTTGACATGAATGAGATCTTACCTCCTCCAAATCTAGCAGTTTCTTTATAACTGATGGCATATACCATTTTATATCTTGCATTCGTTTTGCATATATCTCAATGAAATTCCAGTTAAAACCTGGTATGTATTATTTCCAAAGTGATATTACGTACTTATGTGAATCAGTAGATCTGATTCTTTAAAATATTTGCCATAGAACTTAATGTGTGATGAAGCAAAGGCCAGTTTTATGTGTTTCAAAGAAATAAGAATGACATTAATAGAGACTCTGGGATGATAAGTTGTGAAAGCTTGGAACAATCTGTTTAAATCTATGGTATGATGTGGTGCATTAGACACATTAGAATATAGGGTGATGAATTTATAGACTCTTTAAAATTGAGTGTAAGGAATGTAAACAATTCATGTTTCTGTCTTATCTAATCCAGTTATGACTTGCTTTTTTTATTGAGCTATCCACATTCTTTCACATCATTTCTTAATTATCTCAAGCAACCATCTTTAAAATGACTGGCCAGGAACTCTGGACTGTGGCCATGAAATAGAGGGCAGCTCTTTGGCAAATAGGGGTATTTGCATTGTCATCACCAGTATGCTTCGTACAAGTGAGCAAACTCACCTAAACAAAAATTAAGCTAATCATTCTTGATCTTTTTTCTCTAAGAGCTATTGTCACATATTCACATGAAAGCTAAAGAAGAGCGTGACATATACTATCTGGATCCACAATAGATTTGACAAGGCTTTGGCTTAAGGTCCATATCAATCTCTTTCAACTCTCATAGGGCAGTTGACATACCACGTGTTTCTCACACTGGAGAAAAAGGAATTTTAGATGGGGTTAGAAATATTCATATGAAAAAAATTTTCTGATAATAAACTATTCATATATATATGATAAGTAATAAAGGCATACTTAAATGTTCATCAAGATGGAATGCACTTTGCTATGGAGAACCAATATAACCTATACCTCTATTAATCAGTTTTAATTTTCTTTTCCAAGATTTATGTTTTTTAACAATGCAGCATGGGTTATGAATTATCTGAAAAGTAATGCCTTGTCTAAAAATTATTTTATTGGATCAGATTGTCAAAAGTTTGAACTCTTATCCAAAACCAAAACAGAGTTTCTTAAATATGGAAGGAAGTTCAACTAGTCTAGTCAAGAATATCAGTTTCTAACAGATCTGTGTATATGTATTACCCTCTACTTCCATTTTGAAGATTCATATACTTACAAATTCTTCAAAGCTATCTGAGAGAATGCTCCTGGAGGCCGCAATAATCACTTTATCTTTCCTGCAACTGTTATCATTCTCTCTTGAACCTGGGGAAATCCTTTGGTCTAGAGTGTTGTTTAAACAGCAAAAGTGCCTCCAACCTCAACATGCTGTTCATAGAATGAGCATTATAAGTGTTACGAGAGGAATGAGTAGGATTGTCTTTACATTTACATAACTTTCTTCAGTAATATTAGTTAACTTTCTTTCAAAATGTGCAAGATATATTTGCAAAATTAGAAAAGAAGAAACCAAGGATGATACTTTGTTGAATTCCAATTTATTATGTATTGTACATAATCTATACTTTTTCATTGTCCACATTTCCTTGAGTGAAAATAAAAAGAGTATAATTCAGAATTTCCCTAGTTGTGTTCATTCTACAGGCTGATTATGTTAATAGGTATTGTGGTTGAAACGGCTCTCGACTGCAGCTTCATGAAAGACCCCGAGTCAGACCACTCAGCTAAGTCATTTCCAGATTCCAGATCTTTAGAAACCTTGTGAGATAACAAATGCAAGTTTTAAGTTGCTGTGTTTGGGGGTAATTAACTAATATAGATTCCTTTCTGTAGGACTTCTCAAAGCCTTTAACTTGCTAGTGTTAATTGTGGACCTCTAAGGTATCCGATATAGTATACACTGTATCCCAAGGTTTCTTACCACAAAGCATTTCTTTTTTCCCAAAGACTCCTGAAGAGTAACATTTCACTAAACATTTTTTGGGAAAGGCTGACATAGAGCTTTGATACTTCACAGTCAGATTAACAAGAGATCAGATCCAGCTAGTTAAGCAGCAATTTCAGAGCAGTTAGAGGAATTTGGAAAAGCCCAGATGTGCTTGGCTAAGTAGGGTGCAGAAGTCAAAAGCATTCCAAATCTTTGCTCTTTGGTGCATTTCCTGCAGTTGCAGAGGGCATTGTCACACTTAATTGACAGAAAATTATCAGGATCTGATTAAATAGATACTTTTCTGCTAAGAG